AAGCCCTTGGTATCAGTTCCTCATTTTCCCCCTCTCTCCCAGCTCCCGCCTCCCTCATGAAACTTGATTATTTATAAATTATTATTTTGTCATATCTTACACTATCCAGCATCTCCCTTCACCCACTCTTCTGTTGTCCATCCCCCATGGAGAAGATTATATGTAGATCCTTGTAATTGGTTCCTCCTTTCTACCCCACCCTCTGTCCACCCTCCCAGTTTCACCACTCTCACCACTGGTCCTGAAGGGATCATCTGTCTGGGACTCCCTGTGTTTCCAGTTCCTATCTGTACCAATGTACATTCTCTGGTCTAGCCAGATTTGTAAGGTAGAATTGGGATCATGATAGTGGGGGAGAGGAAACATTTAAGAACTAGAGGAAAGTTGTATGTTTCATCATTGCTACACTGCACCCTGACTGACTCATCTCCTCCCCGTGACCCTTCTGTAAGGGGATGTCCAGTTGCCTACAGATGGGATTTGGGTCTCCACTCTACACTCCCCCTCATTCACAATTATTTGATGTATTGTTCGATCCTATTGCTTTCTTGAGCTCTATATCTGATGCATTCATTATTTGCTGGTGATATTTTTCAGGATTTTTAAAAATGAAAATTCAGTGAGTCAATGGTGAACAAATTGAGACTACAAAAGTGGTTATTTGATTTCTCAGCAAGTAGGGTGATTTTATCCATCAATCATTTTTTATTAATTATAATTTCTTCAATGGATCACTTATCATAAAAATTCATCTTTTACTGTCAACACTGGGGAAAATGATTTGTTTATTGTTTTCTATTTTCGCCTTGGTAGAGCGCTCATTTTTCAGTATTAGTCAAAGTTATCAAACGACTGGTTCAAAGCTTGTGCTCCGCGAGTTCTCCATTCTCAATGCAACAAAAGCCAATTCTACTCAATGTGTGCTGCTTGGACACACAACGCCAACATCATTTCTCTCTCTGCCCTCACCCTTCATGCCACCATGGTGTGGCATCAAGCAGATCAGAACTTATAACAACTGTATAGTCTACCGAAGGACCGTCAACTTGTAGGATTTCTTAGACTGCAATCTTTACAGGAGTAAACTGCCAGGTCTTTCCCTTCCTAAGGCAGCTGGTAGGTTTAGGAGTTGAAAACTGCACTGTTGCCCCACCAGGTTCCTTCATCCTTTCTAGATGTACTGAATCAGGATCCCTGGTGTAGGACCAAGGAAACTTAGCAAGCCCCAAGGTGATGATTTTGCTCATCAAAGTTTGAGAAGCCCTTGTCTAACCAATTCATGTTTGAAGCATTGTGGAGCCCAGCAGACAGTGTATAAATAATCCAGGTCAGTAATTTGTAACTGTGAAGGAATTGCTGTTGTAGTCACCCTCACAATATTCAAAAGGCAGAGTCTATATGTGAAAAGTATTTTTGACACAATAGATGGAAGCAGAAAATGGGAAAATTCTCAGGTCCAAATATCTCACCTCATTCGCAGATCTATCTTGGCCAAGTTCAGCCTGGGCAGCGAAGGTGGGATGGGATGATGAGTCTTTTTATGTGAATGAAGTTCAAGTTTTTTCTTCAAGTTTTTTATCTCCCCTTTCTAGTTTCTCTCCATCCTGCCTACATCTTTCCTCCTGCATCACTTATTGTGAGATAGCCACGTTTAATGAAAGGTAAAAATATTTTTGTTATTGGTTGTTGCATTCCTGTTGGCCCTAATACGTACACTACGTAGTGACCCATGTACAATGAAACAGCACGCTACCCTTTCTACAATCCTCACCATCAGTTGTGAATCGTGTCACTATGATCCATCGGGCCTTCCTGGCCTGATTGTCATCAGTGTGTCATTGTTAGGTGACATCATATCAACCCTATGTCCAGCAGAAGGAAGCACCTGTCCTGCACTGTCCTCATAGTTGCTCTCTGATTGAGCTCAGTTTTGCAGGCACTATATCAATCCATCTCATCGAGGGTCTTCCTCTTTAACACTGCCCCTCTACTTTACCAAATATGGTGTCCGTCTCCAGGCAAAGGTGTCTCCTGATAATATGGCCAAACTATGTGAGACAAATTCTCACCACCCTTGCCTCTAAGAAGAATTCTGGGTGCACTTACTGGAAGCCAGACCTGCTTTTCCTTTTGGCAGTCCATGGAGCTTTCAATATTCTTTGCCAACATCAAGGTTCAAATGTATTGATTCTTCTCCTGTCTCCCTTATTCAGTGTCTAACTTCCACCTGCATATGAGGCAATTGAAAATACCATGGTGTGAGTCAGACACACCTTAGTCCTCAAAGTCAACTCTTTGCTTTTCTGCACCTTAGTCAGGAGTAGCAGATTTACCCAGTGCATTGTGCCCTTTGATCTCTTGACTGCTGCTTCCATGAACATTGATAAGGGATCCAAGCAAGACAAAATCCATGACAACTTCACCTTTTCCTCCATGTAGCCTAGAGAAATAGGTGTGTTTCCTATTGGTCCAGTGGCGAGAATGTTGGTATTCTTTGCATTGAACGATAATCCATCTGGAGGCTGCAGTTCTTGATCTTCAACAAATGCTTCAAATTCTCCTCACTTCAAGCAAGCAAGTCCCCCTCACTTTCAGTAAGGATTAGTATGTTACTAGGCCTTTATTCCAAGTCCATATTAATCTGAACGTTCTAATGAAACCTATTCGGCATGATTGCAACACTTAAACTTCTGCTGATAGACAAGTGGTGCTTATGCCAAAAATTAAATATGAGACTCCTGTGTGAACGGTGAGAATTCTATGTGGAAGACCACCTCTGCCCCCCACTTTAGTTGCCAATAAGAACAAGGAAATAACTTATAGGGAAAGGTTCAAATATAGGAGGAATTCACTGCTGTGGGGAGTTTTAGATTATTTTGTTTTATTTCTACCCCTCCAGGTTTGTTGTGATCACCTGTAGTTACTGAGTCTTGTATCTTTCTCCCTCTGGCTCTCGCTCCCTTGTGAAGGGCTCCCTGCAGCAAATCTTCCTTTGGATCGAGTAAACAGAGCAAAGCAAAGCATTGTGCTACAGATGGGACTAGTTGTGCTGTGCTCGTCTTCTAAAACAAGACGCATTGAATCTCTGGTAGTCTTGGAAGGACAGAAGTCCAGGCACAGCTGGATCACTACTCTGGCATCCACAAAAGGGTGTTGGCAGAATTGTACTCCTTTATGGAGGCCGTGGGAATGAATGCATGGCCAGTTTATTTCATTGTTGCTCATATTCAGCTCTGTGTATTTTCAGTGCTGGAGGAAGATCTGCTTCCAAAGAATCAGCCACTGAGATCCTATAAAACGCAATTCTATTCTGGTCTATCTGGGGCACCTGACGTCAGAGTTTATTCAATGCCATCTGGTTTGGTTAAGTTTTGATGAGCACGTGGGGCTCTTTGAGATAACACAGGAAGCCCCCTCCTCTGCTCCCTTTAAAGGGCAGTTGGGTCAATTACCTTAATCATTTCACCTTTAACGTCTCTTCATAGTTTGATCTGGAGGAACATTTGTTTGATTAACTAGGCAATGGACATCGTGGAGGGATATCTTTCGAACACTGGTACTAAAGATGCTGTGTAGTATGCCATTTAGCAACAATCTTCAAACCCTTATTTTGACCCATCGTTCAAGGCGCCCCAGTGTCCACTCTTACTCTCAGGATATTATGACTCATGACTCTGTCAGAAAGCATGTACCCTTACTCTTATTTAGAAGTCGCTTCCTTGGCCTGGTCAGGAAATGCTGGTCAGCTTTTCCCTCCATTCAATCCCCTTTCTTCACTTGGAACAGGAATGCCTCAACGGGTTACAACCACCAAAGGCAATTGTCCCCCCTGACCCAAATTAATACAGAGAATTTGAAGAGGTAGAAATGGTAAGTGTGTGGCTTTAATTCATCACTCACCTCTAACTGCCTCTGCATCGATTCTGACTCGGCAAGAGTCGCACTGTCCCTGTGGACGTCCAAGATGAATCTTTATGCAGCAGCTAGTGGCTTTGAATTCACTCTCAAGAAACAAGAAAAAGCAAAAAAAAAATTGCTTTTTGAATATGATTGCCATTGATGTGTTTCACAGAGCTAATATCCACTCATAGGAATTTGAATGAATTGGAATTGAATGGATTCTATTTTGGGGCAAATGAACTAATTATGAAAGCTCACAAGTATCCAGGAGCTAAATTTAAAATGGTAAGGGTTTCATAAGTCTCATATGTTTAGTTAACCCTCTAATGAGACAGACTCACAACACTGAAGTCTCAAATCATTTTTGAGAAGACTATAGGGACAAGCCACCTCATTTGAGAGTGTCACAATTGGGAGTCTCGAAAAGAGAAAGATCAAGCACCCAATATCGATTTAGGCCATGAAGAGGTTTATCTTAAACCTGAGAGCAAAATCACAGTTCTTTTGTAATTATTATAAGGAGGTTTGGGGTACACTTACTCGCTCGCAAAGTCACTGTGTCTAATGAAAAGAGAGCCTTCCTCTCCTGCTTGGCTTATTTTAGTCCTAATAAGCAGCAGTACTTCAAATTAGCTTCCCATTTTTTGGTGAAGTCTCTCAATGATAGAAGCTTCCTTCATGTCTTTAGATGTTAGGTAACACCCCATCTGAAGTAGCAGAAAGTAGCTCCCACTCTAAAGCTTCGCCCTTCCTTGCAAATGGCCAGATTCAACTGGCTCATCGCATAGGTCGAAAGGGAGTACAAATAAGGCACAGCTGCGTCCCACCTGAGCGCTTCCACCCAGCAGCCGAACACACGGATGGAGTGCAGGACTGCAAACAGGGTTGAAGTTCAGCTAGCATAAAGCTGAAGTACTGGATTTGAAAATTCTTGAATCTGAGCAGAATGGTCTTAAACACTGAAGTTCATGTGTGTGTAAGACCATCATCTTGGTACTGTAGTAAAAATGTTTAAATATTGAGACTTTTTAAGACATTAATTTCAAATATCTGGTGGCATACTTTGAATTGCTGACTGCTGTTCAAAACCACCAGTCACTGTACTTCCCCGTCAGGGGAGACACCAGGAGCATGAAGGTGGTTTTCCCAGGGCCAGGCTTATCCATTGCACTCCGGATGTGCTGACCCCTGCGATGTCCCCAAATGTGGGAAACTCCACTGCATAATTTGTGGTGGGGGGAGAAACTGTGTTCGCACTCTCCCCTATATAAAGTGAGAAAGAAAAAACAACCAAAACACCAGTCACTGTGGGAGAAGCTGGGGCTCTCTCCTCCCTTAAAGAGTTAAGAGTTTGGAAGCCCGCAGGGCCTTGGAGGGCAGCTATGAGTCGGACCAGACTCAAGGGCAGTGAAAGAAAGACTTCAAACTATGACCGATTGGATGTGGAGTTGGCTGGCTTTCATTTAAACCCCATTCACACTCAGCTATGTGTCAATTGTGCATGATAGTTATGTCTTAGGAGACAGAGACTGAAAACGTCGTGATCACTGATGTCATTATTCTGTATCATTTCACCTCTGTTGTTTCATGAAGGTCTTGGAAAGCGATGAGTTTAGCTTCCTTTTTATTCAATGAGAAAAGAATTTTTAGGAAAGATAAAGCTTTCTAACTTTATCTTTAAGTTTGTGTGCTTGCCTTGGTCTCTGTGATGACTATGGACACTTTAAACCCCACCAATCAAAAGACCTAAATGATATTATTTTCTAGATATAAAAGACGTTGACAGAATAAATCAGGCTTCTGTCAATGACCCTAAATTTACTCCTCAAGTTTCTAAAAGTAATTAAAAAGCACTGTCTATTGATTTTAGTAAAGATTTATAATGTATACATCCACTCATCACTCACTGACATGGTTGAATTTCAAAGACCAGGTCATCATGTGAGCATTGCAAAGGAAGATGACCACATTAGATCACAAAATGGACGATGACTATGTCATTACTTTAATTACCAAATTACATCATTACATAACTGCTACACTACTGAGAACTGTGTCCTAGTCATAAATGGCACATAGCCTTAAACCTCACAGCCAGCATTTTTCTCACCTAATACTTCAGTGTTTGTTCATGACAGACATATCTTGTTCATGTACAAAATAATCAATAGTGGTTTTCTTTTAATCATTGCTGAAAATTCCAAGTTTCAATAAATATGGAGCAGATATATTGAGCTTGGGCCCTACACACAGACCTTGTTCAAATTATGATTCAGAACATACTGGTTGTGAGACTATAAATGGGAAAAACTTTCAAAAGCACAGTTTTATAATAAACCATTGGGGAAAACTGACAGGGCCTGGCAAAATAATCAAAACCATTAATTCTATTATGTCTGATATGGTATCTGGCATGGAGTAAGACCTAAAATAACTTAGCTTTTCATTATGTTTCATCCACGTTCTTTTAATTCCCATATATACATGAGTATAAGCTGACCTGAATATCAGCCGAGGCACCTAATTTTACCACAAAAACTGCATTAAAAATGTGCTGAAAAGCTTGGCTTATACAAGTATATGCCATCATCTCAAAATTTCTGTGTGGGAATATCTCAGTTACCCTAGTTTGGTTATCACTCAAAACACACACACACACACACACACACACACACACACAGAGGAGAGAGAACACAAATGAGTAGCTTTAAAAGACATTTATTTTCCTCCAGTTCTGAAAGCTAAAAGTCCACATCAGGGTCTCGGCCATGCAGACTCGTCCTTCCTGTCCTTTCGTTAGTTTCAGATAGCCCCCAATCATTCATGGGGTTCCTATACTGCAACTGTGGCATCCTCCCTCAGATGTGTTGGCCTAATCTGCTCTTTCCATAAAACACTACTGAAGGTTTAGGACCTACCTTACTCTAGTATGGCTGTGTGTGTGTCTGGGTAGACCAGAGAAACAAATCCAGAGAAACTCATGTGTGTATAAGAGAGAGTTGTATATAAAGGGCAATCATACATTAAGAAACCATCCCAGCCCAGTCCAGGACAAGCCCGTAAGTCCAATATTAGCCCATATGTCTGATACCAATCTATAAAGTCCTCTTCAAACTCACGAAACACATGCAATGACACTGAATACAGGATGGTCATAGGCCAGTGGGTAGAAAGCCTTTGGATCCAATGGCTTTGCAAGCATCTCAGCACTGGCAGGGGTCTCTACATGCCTTCTCTGGCTTCAGAGGTCTGGTTGCATCAGGGTAGGGTCCATGTGGCTTCTCCAGCTCAGGACATTAGCATAGTTTCATGTGTCTTGTCAGCTGCAATGTCTCCCAGGGAGTGAGCAGAGAGAGATTGGTGTCTCCAGCCTCCAAGGAGGAAATTCAGAATTTCCCAGAATTCTCATGAGAAGACCATGCCCACATACAGGCCTCATTGGCTAGTGTCTATACAATGATTGACAGGCTAGACTCCATCCACCCTTTCATTCCCAATCCTCAAATTGGCACCTGATTATGCAACTACCACAATATTAATTAATATAACATTAATATAACAAAATAAAACCATATTTCCAAATGGAGTCATGCTTACAGCTATAGGGCTTAAGACTTCAACATATTGGGGAGAACACAATTCAATTGATAGCAGAAAAAAACAAATGATTAGATTTATCTTATGCCTTAAACTGAGGATAAAGAATGAAAAAAAAAATGTTCTGGTTATTTATAGTATTGCTTGGGATAATTTTACATACAAGAAGCATACTCCCTGAATTTAAGTTGGATTTTTATTGTTATTGTTATTCATTGTCCTCAAATTACTTCCAACCCATTGTAGAACATACTGAAATATCACCGGTCCTGTGCGACATTCGTAGTCATCGGTATGCTCAAGTTCACTGTTGAGGCCTATGTGTACTTTGTGTGTTTTTCACCCTATAAGGTTCATTTTGAAGCACCATATTGGACAATACGCTGTTCTGAGTTCTAGAATGTTCATTGGCTAATTTTTGGAAGTAGATTGTCAGACCTTTCTTCCTAGTGTGTCTTTTTCTGGAATTTCTACAGAAATCGGTCACCTTGAGTTATTCTGCTGGTGTTTGAAATACTGATGGCCTAGACTTGAGCACTAGAGTAAGACCCAAGTCACCATATTATTATAAATAGGCAGATTGTTAAATTTGGATTTAGCTCAAGGTAATTTGGCAAACATAAAAGGTTTTGCTTATTTGTTTGTCTTTCCTTTTTTATTTTTAAATCATTTTACTGGGGGCTCATACAACTCTTATCACAATCCATATATACATCCATTGTGTCAGCACATTTCTACATTTATTGACATCATCATTTTTAAAACATTTTCTTTCTACTTGAGCCCTTGGTATCAGCTTCTCATCCCCCCGCCCCTTTCCCACCCTCCCACCCTCCCTCATGAACCCTTGATAATTTATAAATTTTTTTTTTCATGTCTTACACTGACTGATGTCTCCCTTCACCCACTTCTCTGTTGTCCTTCACCCTGGGAGGGGGTTATAGTTAGATCATTGGGGTCGGTTCCCCTATCTCCCCCCACCTCCCCTTTACCCTCCCGGTATGGCTACTCTCC